TTGGTTGTTTCCGTGGTGATGTTTCCATTTTCATCTCTGAGTTTATTAATTTGGGTGTGTTCTCTTCTTTTTCTGATAAGATTTGCTAAGGGTCTGTCAATTTTGTTAAGTTTTTCGAAGAACCAACTCTTTGTTTTGTTGATTCTTTCTATAGTTTTTTTGGATTCTAATTCATTTAATTCTGATTTAATTTTGATTATTTCTTTCCGTCTACTGGATTGGGGTTTATCTTGCTGCTCTTTTTCAAGGAGGTTTAGATGTGTCATTAAATTGCTAGTTTCAGATCTCTCCAATTTGTTGATATGGGAGCTCAGAGCTATAAACTTGCCTCTGAGTATTGCCTTTGCTGTGTCCCAGAGGAGCTGGTAATTTGTGTGTTCATTTTTGTTGAATAGCATGAACATTTGAATTTCCTTTCTAATCTCTTCCATGACCCACTCTTGATTCAGCAGTGTGTTGTTCAGCCTCCATGTGATACTGGACTTTCTTTGGTGGCTTTTGGTGTTGAGTTCTAATTTTATTCCCTTGTGGTCAGAGAGAATGCAAGGTATAACTTCAATGTTTCTGAATTTAGACAAGTTTGCTTTGTGGCCTAAAATGTGGTCTATTTTAGAAAACGTTCCATGTGCTGCTGAGAAAAACGTGTATTCTGATGCTGCTGGGTGAAATGTTCGGTAGATGTCTGTTAAGTCTAGTTGATCTATGCAGCTGTTTAGATCTGCGGTTTCTCTGTTGAGTTTTTGCCGAGTTGATCTATCTAGTGGGGAGAGTGGTGTGTTAAAATCCCCAACAATTAATGTCTTTGGATCTATATGGGATTTGAGGGAAAGTAGTGTTTCTTTGATAAATTTGGGTGCTCCATTGTTTGGCGAATAGATATTTAGAATTGTAATATCCTCCTGAAGGAGAGATCCTTTAATTAGTATGTAGCGACCTTCTTTATCTCTTCTCACGAATTTTAATTTGAAGTCTATTTTATCTGATATTAAGATTGCAACTCCCGCCTGTTTATGGGGGCCGTTTGCTTGGTAGATTTTGTTCCAGCCTTTAACATTGAAAATGTGTTTGTTTTTACTGGCAAGATGTGACTCCTGCAGGCAGCAGATAGAAGGGTCTTGTTTTTTAATCCAACTAGACAGTCTATGTCGCTTAATTGGAGAGTTCAGTCCGTTAACATTAAGAGATAGGACTGAGAGGTATTTGGGAGTTCCTGCCATGTTATCCACCTTCTTGGGGGCTGCGAAAACTAGGTTCTTCCTATGGTTCTTGGATTCTCAGTTTGGGTGCAGTTTCTTGGCCTTTGTTGCGGTCTTGTTGGTTTTCTATGTGTAGGACATCTTTAAGAATCTTTTGTAGGGCTGGTTTGGTGGAGATGTATTGTTTCAATTTTTCTTTGCTATGGAAGGTTTTTATTTGGCCTTCAGTTATGAAGGAGAGTTTAGCTGGGTACAGTATTCTTGGTTGATAGTTGTTTGTTTTTAGGGCATGGCATACATCATTCCAGGCTCTTCTTGCTTTGATTGTCTCTGCTGAGAAATCTGAGGTGATTCTAATTGGTTTCCCTTTATAGGTGATTAACCTTTTCTCCTTGACAGCTTTAAGGATCTTTTCCTTGGTCTGAGTTGATCCTGTGTGGATTATAATGTGACGGTGGGATGTCCTATTCTGGTCTGGTCTATTTGGGGTTCTAAAAGCTTCTTGTATCTGAATAGGCCTATCTTTTTGTATGTTTGGGAAGTTCTCTGCTAGGATCCTGTTAAACAAATTTCCTAGACCATTAACTTCTGTTTCTAGGTGCTCCTCTACACCCATTATCCTTAGATTAGGCCTTCTGATGGTGTCTTCTAGGTGTTGAATAGATCTATCATACTTCTTGGACTTGTCTTGGATGGTTGTATGTTCTTTCTCTATAATATCTAGGCTGTCTTCAATCCCTGAGATTCGATCTTCTGCATGGTCTAACCTGCTGTCAAGACTCTCTACTTTGTTTTTTATCTCTTTTCCTTCTAATTGGTCAGCTTTGATGGCTTCAAGTTCTTTGTTGAAGCTCTGTTTTAGGTCTTGTATGAATTTCTTTACTTCCTTAATTTGGTGTTCAGTGTTTGTTCTCAAATCACTTAGTTGATTGGTTATGATTTCTTTGGACTCCCATTCCTTCTGTTGGGTTCCATTCAGCATTCCCTTTGTGGTCTCCCTGACTTCCTTCAGCTCTTTGTTAATGGATTCCATGAATGCCTTTACTGATCTTTGTGTGTTCTCTACCTGGTCTCTCAATTCCTGAATTACTCTTTGATTAGCTTCCTCCCGTTTGTGGGATTCCTGCAGTTCTCTTTCCTCCCGTTCCTGGGATTCCTGCAGTTCTCTTTGAGTGTTCTCAGCCTGCTCACGCCATTCCTCCCTTTCTCTTTGAGTATTCTCAAGTTGTTCACGCAAATCCTGTATCATTTTTTGATTAGCTTCCTCACGCTTATGATATTCCTGCATAAACTTTTGGGATGCCTCCTCTCTCTCCCTATCACGCTCATACAGAGTCCTTTGTAAGTTGTCAAACTTCTCATTTATCATATTTGCCACCAGTGTTTGTAGAGCTATTTGGGAACTCTCCTCTGGATTGTTCATTAGCTGATCTGACCCCTGATTATCAAGATTGGGAATTGAGATACCTGGATTTGCCATTTTTCTTGTGTTTTTTCGGCTTACTCTGCCCATTTGAGATGAAAATAGCACCAGTTTTGTGCTAGAACACTATCTTAAGGCAACCATCAACCAACGTTTGCATTTATACAGTCAATAGTCTACAGATACAATCTAGTTCAACAGATACATCTATTCAACATCAAACAACTATATGTTCATGGGCTTCAAACCGCAGAGAAGAATTTGGAAAACCAGAAATTTTTAGGGTTAGGGAGAGATGTGGGTAAAAATTAGGAATAGATTGGTGTGGGGAGGCACAGGGAGAGTTAACTATGTCCTAATCTCAATGCAGGAAATAGGTTGGGTAGGATGCAAGTAGAGAGGGAGAGAAAAAGAAGAAAGGTAAAGGGAGATGAAAAGAGACCAGAAAAAAAATTAGAAACGTAAAAATTAATATAGTTATGGAGATTGAAAGACCATCTATTTAGAGAGGAATGTGAATATAATGAGAAAACAGGAGGGAGATAGAGGAGATGTGAAAAACTTAAAAAATGCTTAAAATATTATATAGGTATAAAGAGGTAGTACTGCTATTAAGGAATTTAAGTCTCAGAGGTTTTGGATTGAGTAATAAATTTGTGGATTAAGTGTGTACACAATGGGGGATAGGGTCTACTAGTTAACTATGGGTTTATCAGGATGTGCAGGACAAGAGTTAAGGCACATGCAGAAGAACAAAAGAAAGGAAAAGGTGAAAAGGATAAGAAAGGGAGAAAAAAAAAGATCAGAAGTTCAGTAGAGCTAGACAAAAAAACAAAAAGATAATTGAGAAAGAAAGAAATAAAAAGAGAGAAGACAAGAAAAGAAAGGAAAACGTACATTCACGTATTCCTAAAATAAAAATTATAAGAGGAAAAAAAAGTTACTGGAAAACAATTATTTTTTCAAAAAAGGCAAAAATTAAAGATTAATAAAAGTTTTAGAAAAGGAAAAAAAAATTTTATATATATAAGGTACCAAAAAAAAAAAAAAAAAAAAAAAAAAAGAAAGAAAAAAGAAAAGAAGAAAAAAAAAGTTCTTTGATTTTTTTTTTTTTTTGATTTTTTTTTGGGAGGGGTGGGAAGAATCCTGTATCTCCCTTTTGTCTGTTACCAGCCTCTTGTTGGAGTCTCTGGTCAGCTTGAGGTCCTGTGGCTTGATTGGTTTCTTAAGTCAGTTTGTTCGAACAGGCAGAAAAATGCTCTGCTTTACCCAAGATTTTGAGATCCCCCTCCCAGGTTAGTTTAATGGGAGGGTGATCTGCTTTGAGAATCACAAAAGAGGGGTGATGAGGCTAGGTTCTGGTAGAGTTGAGGCCTTTCAACAAACAGTAGCTTTTCCCTGGGGCTATTTTGTGAAAAATTCACAGAGCCCACCCTGGAGCCATTCTCAGGGTTTCTGTTTTTCAATTGATTGTGGAGGCTGCTAGAGGGAGGGGCAGCCTCTGGCTCTGGTTACCCAGTGAGGAAAGCCACTCCAATGGCTGGTGCCTGAGCTGGGTGACTTTTCCCTGGATGGAGCTGAGTCTGGCAGGTCACTTCGCCGTTAAGTTCTTGTGACCTGTTAAATGACTCGTTTTATTCCAAGGCCTGAGTTGGAGCTAGCAGCTCCTCTGAGCTTTGTCGGTATCCAAGATGGAGATCACCGGTGCTGGGGGGGGAGGGGTGGCCTTCCCTCCTCTGCTCCCTGAGAAGGAGTGAGGAAGTGGGGCTACTCACGCCGAGTCTTGGATCCTGGGTCGTCTCTGGTCTGCAAAGTGCAGGATGAAGATGTCCGCTCCTTGTCGGTTCTTGCTGGTGTTGAGTAGAATCCTCTCGCCCTCTGCGTCTGGCTCCTTCGTCCCGGACTCTCTGTGTGAGCGCTCAGGTATGGCCGCGGCTGCGGTAGCCGCTGCGACCCTGCCGCCGCCGCCGCGGCTGCTGGCAGGCGGTCAGATGTGTCTCCTTGTCTTGGCTTCCCCTCTCTTGTCTAACTCTCTGTCCTGTGATGGCACACTTGGTGTGATTCTCTGGCTTAGGACTGTTCACTGGAACTCTAAAACTGCTTTCTATGCGAGAGCTTGTTCAGATTCCAGCTTCTCCTCCGCCATCTTCCTATAGACTCTTATCACTATACTTATAAAACATTTCAGCCTGAAAAAAAAAAAAAAAAGAAATGTACTCATTACCTTGCTCATGTAATTGTAACCTCTCTGTACAGTATTTTCACAATAAAAAATAAACATGGATTGTTGTAGCAAAAAAAAAAAAAAATAAAACATTTCAGCCTGATAATCAGAAAATAATTAAACAATATGATTTTATGCCATTGTTTTTCTTTCTAAGATCAGCTTTGGAGGGATTCCTGGACATGGAAAATCGTCCACATTCCCACACAAAAACTTTGATGGGTGTTTTGAAAATCTCTTCTATAATGGAGTAGATATCACTGACCTGGCCAAGAAATACAAATCACAGATTCTCTTCATGGTAAGTAGGCCTAACTTTGGTGTGGGTTGAGTGGGAATACGGGGAGTGGGGGAGATGGGAAGGGATGGGAAGGGGAAACAAAGGAGGAGGCAGCAATGCTTGATAAGAAATGTACTCATTACCTTGCTCATGTAATTGTAACCCCTCTGTACGGTATTTTCACAATAAAAAAAGTCATAGAGTTCATAAGCAATGTAGATTAAGATAATGATGACTATCATTGTAAAGATTAAAAGGTGTTTGAGACTTTAAAGCAAATAAATAATTCAGCTTTCAACAGCCTGAAAAAAAAGAATTTAATAGAAAACCTGTAATTTAATTCAGTAATTCAGGTTTTCATGTTTTTCCTAAAGGTACAAATCATGCATAGTTTATGCTTTATTTTTATACCTGTGGGAAAATGGTTGCTTAATTTTACAAAAATGTCAAAGTATGTCCATAGCTTTTGGAAAATGTAGCACTTGGCCTTGAATTCATGGCCTCACACTTGCTAGGCTGGTGCTCTACCACTTGAACCAGGTCTCCTGCTCATTTTTTGTTTTAGTTATCCTTTTGAATATGGTCTCTTGTTTTTGCATGGGGAAGCCAGTCTTGGACTATAGTTAGTCATCCTACTCACCCTCCTACTATATCTGGGATTACAGATGTGAACCCACACCTAGCTTGCTTGTCACAATGATGTTCTTACTAAGTTTTTGCCCAGGATATTCTTCAAACACCATATGCCTAAAGTCTACATCATGAATAGCTGGGAGTATAGATATGTACTACCATGCCCAGTCATCTAAATAAAACCTTATATTCAGTATTTTTAATTGTAAGAACATAACGAGATCCACTTTCTTAACAAGTTTTTATATGTGCAATAACATTGCCATAGACTCAAGGTTGTCCAGAGATCTCTGGAACTTAATTTACACAACTGGAACATTTTGTTAGTTCTACACCAACTCCCCATTTCCACTTCTTCCAGCTTCTTTAATACCATTTTTCTCTCTGCTTTTTCTGAATTTGATTGCATTTCATAGAAGTGGAATTCTGCCCTTTTTGTCCTATAAATGGCTTATTTCCCTGAGCATGGTGTCTTCCAGTTTCTTCCAGGTTGTCCCTTATGGTGGTATTCTCTCCTTCAAAGCTAAATCCCAGTCCATCGTATGTGTGTGCCACATTCCTACAGTTAACGTGGGGAGAGGGCTAGAAGGCTATAACAACTTCAATCATGTATGAAAATTACACTAGCACTCTACCCTGTGCACTTTAGATCATGAATGTCATAGTTTGTAATGTTTTATACTGTGGATCCATGATAGTATTTTGTATAATTGTTTTTAAAACTTTGTCTATCTTTTACACCAGAATTGAAAGTGATTTTTACAGTACTGTTGCAGAGTTGCATTTTCCTTTATTTATATGCTTACCTTTAACAAGTTTTATACTTTCCTAGACTTTGCTGTGCTATTTAGCTTTGCTTTGTTTCAACTTGATGAACTCTTTTAACAGATGATGACTTCTTCAGGTTTGTTTGGGGAAAATTGTTAAATCTTCTTCAGTTTTTTTGGTCCGGTCATTGGGCCTGAACTCTGGGCCTGGGCGCTGTCCCTCAGCTCTTCAGCTCAAGGCTAGCACGCTCTACCACTTGAGCCACAGCGCCACTTCTGGCTTTTTTCATTTTGCTTATGTGGTGCTGAGGAATCGAACCCAGGGCCTCAGGCATGCAAGGCAAGCACTCTGCCACTGAGCCATCTTCCCAGCCCATCTTCTTCAGTTTTGAAAAACAAATTTCCTTCAAAAATGATCAGATATGGGCAATTTTCAGCACTTTGGCTATAGCTTCCAATGTTTCTATTGAGAAATGCATTGATTGTGTGCGGAAGTTTCCAAGTTTGTGATAAATAATTTTTCGCTGTCTGCTTTCAAAGTGTTCCCTTTGTGCTGGAATTCTCACTGTTTCATTAGGAGGCTTCTTGGTGTGATCTATTAGTTGGAGCCATCATATTTTGAATTCTTTGGGATTCCTAAATCTATAGTCTATTTCAGGAATTTTGTTAACATTTATTTAATTTTTCTGTTGTTTTACTCTGTCTTCTTGGACATACATAATGTCTGTATTGGTCTGCATGGTAACATCTTGTAAGTCACCCAGAAGCTTTTTTCCGTTTTTCCTTTTTATGCCTCTGATTAGCTAATTTCAGATGATTTAGCTTCAAGCTCAGTGATTCTCTCTTTTGCCTGATGTGATCTGCTGTTCTGAAATGCCTGTTTCTCTATTAAATATTTGTCAGATGTTGTTTTCTTAAATGTTAAAACCTAACATATAAATCTTTATTAAACTTTGCATTTGCTCATGCATTTTCTCCTGAATTCATTGTGCATCCTTATGTGAAAGTAATTTTGAGTGCCCAGATAGGAGATTCTTATATTCTGGATCACGAATTTTAATTCTTGAAGTTTTATCTTAATTCTTGACAGGGAGGGGTCATGCTTGTTACTTCTTCATTTTCTTTAATTCTTGGTGGTCACATCTATATTTCAAAAACAAGCAACCTTCTCTAGTTTTCATTGGCAGGCTTTGCATACCGTATGACCCTAAGTAGAAATCTCTATGTATTTTCCCAATTTCCTAATTCCTTGCTTCCTTGCTTCCTTGCTTCCTTGCTTCCTTCCTTCCTCCCTCCCTCCTTCCCTTCCTCCCTCCCTCCCTTCCTTTCTCCCTCCCTCCCTTCATTTCTTCCTTCCTTCTCCCTCCCTCTCTTGCTCCTCCCAATTTCTGTCTATCACACTTGAACTCTTCTTTGATTCTCAGAGACACCTAGGCCCATAGCTTACAACAGCTCCCATCTATGCTTAGATACACATGAAACTGATGGCAGTTACTCAGAAGTCATCTGAGAATTCTGAATGTTGCTATTTGTTTCTGTATCCTCTTTCATTTCTTTTTTTTTTTTGGAGGGGGGTGTCCGGTCATGGGACCTGAACTCTGGGCCTGGGTGCTGTCCCTCAGCTCTTCAGCTCAAGGCTAGCACTCTACCACTTGAGCCACAGTGCCACTTCCGGCTTTTTTCTTTTTGATTATGTGGTGCTGAGGAATCGAACCCAGGGCCTCATGCATGCAAGGCAAGCGTTCTATCACTGAACCACCTTCCCAGTCCCTCTCTTTCATTTCTTAGGGACAATTCTGATGTACAAGTCTTGTGCTGAGCCAGGAGGAGGAGCCCTTGCAGATAACTGAATAGTAGTCCTTATGTTTGCCTTTGTTTTCTGATGCCCTCATCCATCTAGAATATTCTGGGTCACATTAACACTCCAAGACAGGTAAGATAAAAAGCCAGTTCCTTAGTCGGCTTTCCAGAATGATGGGTGGAATATTGGATAGATGATCTGGATCTTCCCTTCTATCAGAGAAAGACTGCTTTGTGCAGACCAAGTGTTCACCCACTTGGTCTACACTGAGTGGTGGGGACAAGCCACAATGAACTCTTGCATGATAGTTCAAATTGCCATCCTCCAGTTGTTCACAAATTTAAGGCTTTTACAGGTACTTGCTTGTTAGTCCAAAATGTCATCTTTGTTCTCCCTGGCTGGGAGGTATCTCTAGCATGGGAGATCGCATCTGTGATGAAAGGTTGTGAGACAAACAGCAATGCCTCATGTAGAAGCCAGTCGCTGCAAAAGCTGGAATGTTGGACCCAGCCTATCTCTTTCTCTACTGTGAAGCTGGGCTTTGGGGTTTCTTCAGAACACTCTGTGCTGTGCTATGCAGAGGGACAATTAGGAGTACTTAGGTAGTTCAAATTTTGTTCTCAGTGAATTCCAACCTTAGCCCTTTCCTGTTGGTGCTTAGATTCAGGAAAGACAAATGAGTGCTGTGAGAAGTGCTTGGAAAAGAATGTTAGATGTTGGATGTATAGTGCAGTCCTTTTCTTCCCTTCCCAGGAATAAGTTGAGAGCTTGGTTTTCTTGAAGTAAGCTATGAGGTTTCTTGGATTTTGTTTCCAGCTTTCATGTAGGTACTTTCCTATTTCTCTAGGGTCAGAAATGTCTCATCTGATTCTGTCTCTCACAAAAGAACTCTGTTTTTTAAATCATTGAATCTGTGTCTATAGCAGAAAAGGAAGGCCAGAACTTCCTATATTACTAATGTGACAGCCATCTTGCTGTTACATTCATCTCTCTCTTCCGCATGGGTTTTCTTTTCTCCTGTCCTTTTCTCTCTGTACCATTGGATTTAATCCCAGGTCATCTAATGCTATTGAGCTAATGTTTTCCCTTCCCTTATCCATCCATAATAGTTAATCCTACATAGATCTGTGGATGCATACTTATATCTTTATGAATAGTCACTCAAATTGGGCATTTGTGGTGTGTGTGTGTGTGTGTATGTGTGTGTGTGTGTGTGTGTGTACTGGACCTGGGGTTTGGACTCAAGGCCTGAGCTGAACTTGAGGCTAGTATCTACCTCTTGAGCCATACTTCCAATTCTAACTTTTCTTGGTGGTTAGTTAGAGATAAGAGTCTTACAGACTTTCCTGCCTTGGCTGCCTTCTAACTGAAATCCTCAGATCTCAGCCACCTGAATAGCTAGAATTCCTGGTGTGAGCCTTTGGCACCCAGCCTACATGGGATATTCTATCTATCTATCTATCTATCTATCTATCTATCTATCTATCTATCTATCTATCTATCTATCTATCTATCTATCTATCTATCGATCGATCTATCTCTATATCTATCTATATAGAGATATAGAGATAGATCTTACACACACACACACACACACACACACACACACACACACACGTTTTGGTATGAGTATGGTGGCTTAAACTCAGTGTCTTAGCTTCAGCTGGTACTCTTCTACTTGATCCATATGGCTTAGGTTTTTATTTTTTGTCGGTCCTGGAGCTTGAACTCTGGGCCTGGGCACTGTCCATCAATGCTTTGGCACAAGGCAAGCACTGCACTACTTGATCCATAGCCCCACTTCCAGTTTTCTTGTGGTC